ATCAAATAAAAGCTAAACCTAAAAATCATTAAACAGTAAATACAGTAAATAAGTAAAATTAATAAAAGACACTGTGGACCACACAACTCACACAGTGTTAAAAGCCAGAGAGTAAAAGTGGAGCTGGCCCTCGGACCTCAGAGTATGTGCAGGGGTGTAAATTTGTGGGGCCTGTCCATTCAAATCTTTAAATACAAAAAATTAAATCTTAAAATCAACTCTAAAACGAACCAGAAGCCAGTGTGATGACACTAAAATTGGAATAATGTGCTCAGGTTTTTTGGTCCCAGTTAAAATGCGCGCAGCAGAATTTTGGTCTAACTGTAAACAAGAAAGTGTGTGGAGGCTAATGCCAGAGAAAAAAGCATTACAGTAGTCTAAACGAAGAGGAGCTAAAAGCGTACGTGACCTGTTCAAATGATTTAAAAGATAAAAAAGGCTTAATTTTAGATAAAAGCCGCAAATGATAAAAGCCAGATTTTACAACCGCATTCACTTGTTTGTGAAATTTAAAATCACTGCTAGCTGACGGCTCTGCTTTCAGATGGGATCCATATAAATAAAGTAACAAACAAATACTGAAATGTGTATATATTGTGTTCTGGACTGTTTTTCTTACATAGGTTGACTTATAAATACACTATAATGACAAAAGGAGGAACGCATCTGTAATTCTTTCTGCATTCTGGTCTTATTGTAAAGTCTCAGGATACAATTAAGTTTCAGTTGTTTTCAGGAGTCATCTATTGTTCAGTATTTGATTGACAGTTCTTATGACTTAGTTCAAATGAGTAAATGTACTGTATGTTGAGTACAGTTTTAGTTTTATTTGTTTTGATGATTGTCAGTCAGTTCAAAAGTTCAAATTTCTCTCAAACCATAGAGTACATGCCAGTTAACAAAATGTCTTAAATTACGCTATTATTATTATTACGCAAAATTTGTATATTTCTTTGCTAATTAAAACGTGAGATTTTCAGTTTGAATAGTATTGTCTCTGATTTGCTACATAGAAAACTCATACCTTGATTGAACCTAGCAGTCCATTTTAATTTAACTATCTGTCAGGAGCTTTGGTGGTGCCAATTAACCAGCTGCTATGACTCAAGCCTATTATTTCTAAGTTAGGCTCAAAGTAAAGTACTTTCCAGTGTTACAAAAGGTGAACAAAACTTTCTAATGGGTTGACTCCAAATTTGAATATCTTTGTATTTAGTCATTTGTGGCCTTCGCACATGGATGGATTAACTTTTTGCATATTATTTTCAAGAGAGTGATCTTCAGGTTTTGGTTAATGTACAAACATTCTTATAAATACATAAAAACAGAAGAATAAAGTATTGTGATTTGGACCTATTAGAGGTACAGTATCACAGTGAATATTGGCACCTGTGAGATGTAAAATTTAAGTGAGGCATGAATGAACTTCTGAAGGAACTTCAAAAATGTAACACGGGGAGGTTAGCGTATTACTTTACTGCTGAAGAAGGCTGACTTTAAGAGCTTTTAATTGCTTCCCAACTCCTTTTCCCACTCAAAGTTGTTGCTCATTGTCACCATGCCCTTGCCGTTATTTCTTCATCATGTCCTTGCCAAATTTAGTTTTTACCTCTCCAACAAAGAAATGTAAAAGCCTGTGAAAAGTACTTGGAAACTTAAAAATCTTCCCCAGATAATTAAATTCAAGTTTGTTATTAGACTGCTGCCTGGAATTCTTATGATGTACTACCAGGATGACTAGCAGGACTTTTTAAACTGTGTAACTGTGTACTGCACTGTGTAACTTTTCTGGTGGAGGGTCCGCCATGGAGATTTATTATTTTGTCTGGAATGTCCCCGTATGGCATTAAATGTATCCGTCTTGCATTTACTCAGTAACATGGGTTGGTATTGACCTAAAAACTTGCATTCTTATTATGAGTTGGCTCGCCTTTTCACAACTCTGACATGTTACTTGGACCTGCGGTGTCACCTTTTATCTTGGCGAAGATAAATATGTGTAATACCATACTGTGGTAGCCAGGGTGGCTCCACCTAGTGCCTCCGCTCAATTTAATTTCTCTCCAGCGGCTAGGTCAGGAATCGGAACACACTAGACGGTTTGCAAAAACCCCAGAAGTGCAAGTTCAGGCACCAGCTAATCAGCAAAGAGCAATACATTGTGTGTTGGCAGCGATTCCCAAGATCGAGCATTTAAAGCCAAAACAAGGAAAATGTTTGAAATTTTATCAAGGGGAAAGACATTATTGCCCTTCTTACTACGGGATTTGGGAAAAGCTTAATATACCAGTTAGCACCATTAGCGGTGCATTACATACATCACGACCAAATAGCAGCGATTGGTTAAATAAACAAAGTACCGTCGAGTGAACAAATTCTAATGCTGCGAGATCAGACGGTTTCCACAAAGTGAAACTGATGAATCAGACTAATACTGTGGAACATTCCAGGCAGTATCTCCATGGAGAGAAGCAAACGATGAACCCTCCACTAGAAAAGTTACACAATGCGCCGTTAAGACAAGAATAAATACCTCGAAATACACGCACGCAAGCCACAATAGTTTCTTACATACGTCATTAAAACCGAGAAACCTGAACTTCCTGTAATCAACAAATCAACATAGTGCTGTGTAATTTACATACATTACATTCTTCACTGTGTATGTTAACAGCATGGAGCCTTTATATAGTAGCTGAAGTGTTATATAAGCAGGCAGTACCGGTGAAGTTAACTGCGCAGGATTGCACTTACACTTCCTCCATGTAAAACAGAGCAGGGATGTGTCGAACTACATCTTTGTCTGTTTTCCCCGTTCAGACTGACTTTTTAAATGTGAAAAAAAAACATATAAAGTGCATTTAAAGATGTACTAGTATGCACTGTATACTAGTATAGTAGTATAAAAGCAAATATATCCATGCCTCAACGACAGTCTGGTGTCACTTTATAAGCAATTGAAAGGCCTATCATTGAAAGATTGTTGGACAAGTTTAATGCTGTACTGTGAAACATTTCAAGCAGAGGAATAGCATCACCATGGAGACAAGCAGAAAGGGCTGTGTCAGACCATATCCCTGTCTGTTTTTCCTGTTCAGTCTGACATTTTAAACTTGACTTGAACCATTTTAGGTACTTTTAAAGAAGCACTATGTAACTTTTCTGGTTCAGGGTTTGTCCCTTGGTTGTATCCATGAGTACCCATGTTATTGCTTTGCCTGGAATTTTCCTCAGTATGGCATTAAACACATCCAAATCAGGTGTCTTATTATAAGCAATAGAAAGACCTATAACTGAATGAATGTAAGACAAGTTTAATGCCATACTGTGGAACAATTCAGGCAGAGGAATAAGATCACCATGAACACCAGAAAAGTTACAATGTGTAGTTTTAAACGCAAATCCAGTTGTATCTCTTGCCAATTAAAAATGGTTTTAATATGTGTTTCTTTTGCACAATATATAAGAGATGTAAAATAGCCACTTACCACTTTTCTGAATGTATTGAAAAGGTCAATTAGCTCTCTTCAGTTGAAACAAAAACTGGTGTTAGATTTTTATTCACGCACTATAAAACTGAGTTAGTTTAATGCCAAATGCTAATAAAAGTATGTATGCGGGGATTTCAGCTTTTAACTATAGATGACCTTTATTACTAGTGAGGATTTTTCACCATTTAAAACATCGAATGAATGAATCTTGTTTTAAATTCTCAAGTGATATGGCAACAGTCTTAAACTTTTATCATTCTGAAGCTCATGGAAACAAAATCATTTATTTAAAGATGATGTAATTGCTTTGATTGGCATGCTTTCACAAGTCACATTTGCTTTCACAGTACGGTATTAAACTTAACTATCTCCATGGAGATGCCACCAGACCAAGATACTGGTCAGATCTGTGTAGAGAAGGGGTCTTCAACCTGTAGCTTGGGAGCTACTAGTAGCTCTCCACTCCCTTCAGAATAGCTCGCCAATGGATTTCTGAATTCTATGTGTTGTGCTGAATAAGTAAAATTTGATCAATTACCTGCAGACAGATATAAGGAAGTACCCACCAGCATTCTGACCAGAAATGAGGAAGCAGCTTGGATAAGCTGCGAAACGTATTCGACCAGCTGATAAATTGAATTTCTTCTTTGCCATTAATTACCATTGTAAATGTATAATTGTCAAGCCTACCTTTGGGCACTAATAAATGGATAAGGGTTTATTTTTTATAGGCATCTAACTGTTCCGTGTGTAAGTCTTGCTGAAGCTCTTACGTATACTCTGTTTCTTTGCAACTGCTAAAATAGGTAGCTCTCTGGCATTTTCATTCTGTAAAAATAGCTCATTGGAGGAAAAATGTTGGAGACCCCTGGTGTAGAGGATGGCCTCCTCTACAAGTTTAATGCCATAATACCTTCTCCATGGAGACAAGCAGGCGCAAACCCTCTTCCTGAAGAGTTACACAATGCACCTTTAAAGAGCACATATTAGGTTATTTTGTGATCTATGTTATTATTATGTTGTTTCCTCATTACAAACCGTACCAAAACTTACGATGTGTTTTGTTTCATTCACACATGTTTAACGCACAAACCCTGCATATTTAGGCTGAGTTCTTCTCTTAAAGAAAACACTCCTTGTGATGTCATATGGTATTACAAGAAGTGCTCCACTCTGTTTTTAAATTCCATACACTTTCACAACAATCATTTGGATGATTTCAGCCCTCAAATTGCCCAACTCTAATTAACTAAAGGTAAAAGGTGCTGTTAACTTGAACACTACCACTGCATGACATCACATGGTGAAGCATAGCATTTTGAGCTTTGGAGATGTAGACAGACTAATAATGCAGGGTTACTCAAAATGTGTCAATGAAACAAAACACAACTCTGGGTATGTTTTTAAGGAATCAACAGCATTGTAACATGGCTAAAAGCTCACAGGGGTAAATGTTGCATAATATAGGAGTTTAAGTTTAACTGTGTGTTTTTGGTCTTTGTCTTACAGCAGAGCCACTGGACGGAGAGGAGTTCTTGGACATTATCGGAATCATGCGAAACCAAGCGGGTCGATACGAGTGCAAGGCCAGCAACGACGTGGCCACACCCGACTTCAAATATGTCAATGTAGTGGTCAACTGTGAGTAATGAGTCTACACAGCACTGAACACTACAGACATGGAACACTATAGGGATGGGACACTGCTGGGATGAGACATAAATTCCATGAGAATGAGAAAAGACGGGATTTTAACGTAATTCCTGATAAATACATTTTATGATTGAGTTTCCAATTTTGGCCTTACATTTTTGTATTTATTTGATTTCATATTTTATTTTTTTGTTTCTATTGTTGTACTGTTTTTTGAAACTATAAGAGATGTAATTCACACACGTAGCCCTTTCCTGTTCAATCCAAATGTAACCACAGGATTATTTTCCTGATGTTTGTGCTATCTTGTGGCATCCCTACTAAACACATAATGAGTCAAAACATTAATGAGTCATGTTCACTTTTATGGTACACAGTACACTGGGATGAGGTCATAAAAACAATGGTTTACAAATTAATTAATAAGAAACTGATTTCATGTTTATAAATTGTAAAACAGAAGTAATCAAATACATACAGGCTAAGAATGTATCAGACTGCCCTGTTTGAAGCTCTGTTACTCAAATTAATTTAATCTGATCTTTATTTTAACACAATCTGACCAGAAAGAACTGACTCAGCTGGAACTATAACAGGTGATATGATTTGTGCCGTTAAACAAGACTCTCACTCATAAAATTAAACAAGCTTGATAAAATTAGCCAACAGTTTTTCAGTTTTTCACTCTCACATTTATGTTTGAAAATCAAACTCCTAAACTTGACCATGAACACTCATATTGATCACAGACTCCTAAAAAATGTGTTGTTTACATCCATCCATACGTTTTGTTGAGATTTCATGCTATCTTACAACTTTTTTCTGCAGCATTTGCATTGTGTCACCATGGTAACTCCTGAACATTTCACCATTAGATGTATAACACTTACGTCTATAACACCCCCAGTGTGATGTCACTGCAAATGATCAATTGTAGCCATGGCTGGGTAAAGAATTGCATGCAATCTGTGTTACTTTACAAATAAAATTACTTAAATTGGAATTTATTAATCCATTATTAAGAATAAAAAAGGTTTTGTGTTACTTTCTCACATCAGTAGTACTGGTTTTTTTTTTTTAACCGTAATTTCAGGGTTACTGGTGCTGATTGCAAACAATGGGGGTCCACAAAGTCATTCAAATGTGATTTTGTTTTCACTTTTATTTTCTCTGTTGCAAATAATAATGCCGTTAGCTATTTCACTTTGCATTTTTTGTTTTGCCAAAAAAGAAAAAAAAAACACACACACACAATTGAGAAAATAGAGAAAAGTATTTGAGGACATCATGTACTTTTTTATGAAAATTACCATGTTTTAGTTTAACTTTCAAACTGTATTTCAAAAATATGAATGAATGTTGTTATTTGGTTATTCATAGTAATGTAATGTATGTACAGTACCAGTAGACACAACTGTTTACTGCTTCCTGCACTGTAGATACTGTACATACCAGATACATCAAATATATGAAGCAAGCAGCAAAAACCAAGCTTTCTCTCAATGAACCTCATGATGAAGTCCCCTGAGATGATTTTCACTTCACAGGTCAATGCTCATTAGTGGATTGCCAAGACTGTGCAAAGCAGTGATCCAAGTAAAAAATAGCTTTAAAATAGCTTCTCTTTTAGCTATTTTAAACGCAATTTTCACAGTTTTCTGATCAATGTTATAATGTTGTTTCTTCATCACAAACATACTTGGAGTTGTGTTTTGTTTCATTCACACATGTTTAACAAACCCTATATGTAGGCTGACTTCTTCTCTTGAACCGAAAACACTCCACCTTGTGATGTTATGTGGTAATACAGGAAGTGCTCTACCTTTTTTAAACTCCATACACCTTCTCTAGAATCATTTGGACAATCTCAGACCTGAAATTTCCCATCTCTATTAACTTGAAAACTACCACTGCATGACATCACAAGGTGGAGCAAAGCATTTTGAGCTTTGGAGATGTAAACAGATTAATAATAAAGGATAACATGTGTGAATGAAACAAAAGACAACATTATAACATGGCTTACAACTCACAAGGGTTCATTTTGCAAAATATAGGACCTTTGAAGAATCTAAAATAGAAAATAATTTGAGTTATTTCACACTCACTTGTTTATTACCATTACCATATGTGTTCATTCATAATTTTGATGCCTTCAGTAAGAATCCACAATATAAAAAAAACATTAAATAAACTGTGTCCAAACTTTTGACTGTGAATGCATTCATAGACTACTTAAATTTCACAGTGTTTTAACCTCTCAGCTTTGCATATTCGTCACTTTGTCTTAGAAGCTGTGGAGCACCCTTAAGTCCTGTCTGCCTCCACCTTTGAGTGTAATATTTTTGGAAATCTTGTCAGGACTGATCCCCTTCACTTTTGACGCACTTCAGACTGACGTAGCAGACAATTAGGCGTTTGAAAGTGAACGGGCTAATTGCGTCTTGTCAGGGGTCCATGGATGACTTGATGAGCACTGCATATGTTAGCTGCAGCTCTAAGATGAATTGCTAACATTCACACTTCACAGAATTCCTCTCTCACTTGAGAAATTCTGTTTGAATCTGAACTTTTTGCCCATTGCTGCCTCAGTCCCACAAGACCCCAGCTTCAGCTTCTAGTAAATGATGAAGATTTCCACATAATCTATATTCTTGACCCGTGCATTATTTAAACCAAATTGATTGTGCATAATTGATGTGTGCTCTATAGACATTTTTCTTTTGTAATTTAATCAAACAATTATGAAAGTTTCAGATAAAAATGTAAACCCTAGCATTTCTCTGCCCAGGAGTTCTAGTGGAATATTATTACTTTACTGCTACTTTGAGTCTTAAGAATTTTAACAGAAAAGGAGCTATATTTTATTTTAGTATATTTTTAAAGGTCATATATTACATAAAACTGACTTTAGTGAGCTTTAAGTCATGTTCAATTATTATTATACCTCATCCACAACATACCTGGACTTGTGTTTTGTTTCATTCACACAAATTCATTCTAAGATACACTTTACCTTTAGTTCAGTAGAGATTGGCAATTCTAGGTCTGAAATAATCCAAATGATTCTACTGACGATGTATAAAGTGTAAAAACACAATGGAGCAATTCCTATTTTGGCCATACCGGCTTGTCAAAGCCTGATTCTGTCAGATCTCAGAAGCTAAGCAAGTCCTGGGTAGTACTTGGATGGGAGACCTGGGAACACCAGGTGCCACAGTGGGGCGCCAGTTTAATCCTGGTTTGTGTTGTGTCCTTAGGCAAGACACTTTACCCACATTGCGTAGTATGAAAGTGGAGTGTGCGTGAGTGACGGTGGGGGTCAGTGGGCCGATGGCACAGATTGGCAGCCGCGCTTCAGTCAGTCTGCCCTAGGACAGCTCTGGCTGCGATAGTAGCTTACCACCACTGAGTATGAAGTGACTGAATAATGCTTTTTAAAGCGTCTTTGTGACAAATGTCTGTGAAAAGCGCTAAATAAATAAAAACGTACTTACTTACTTACTGTTTTGCTACACAACATCACAAGTTGGAACAGTGTGTTTTCTGTTTGAGAGAAGAACTCAGCCTAAATATTCAGGATGTGTGTGTTTGTGTGATACGTGTGAAAGAAACAAAATGCAACTCCATGTTTGTGATGAGGAAACAACATTATAGCACAGATCAGAAAACAGAGTTGAAATTCAGTACCGGTTGTAGAAGTTTTTTTGTTTTTTTGTTTGTTTGTTTTTTTAATAACCATCTGTTATATGCCCTTTCGAACACAACATGTATCTGACTTAACTTTGGGGTGTATGTTGTGACCTTTTGAATGGATAACTTACTACTTAAAACAATTCACGTTCCATCCAATAAATTGGTGAAAAACACAACAGCATAGATTTCATAGTTCTACAGTATTATTTGCCTATTTGTGAGTGCAGGCATACAAAAATCAGACGTACTTTTTTCCAGAAAGAAAATCAAAACGTCACCTTTATTTTCATTATTCTTTCTTGTTCTGTACTCTCAAACACAAAATTTGATAAAAGTATGGTTCCCTTTTTACCATTTCTTTTTGTCTACAAGAAAACCTATCATAAAACACTGGTGGACATGAAAGCGGGATTTCTTTTAAGTTCCAACCTTATTTGAAGCACAGGACATGTTGAAAGAGCATGATTTTCAAAGCCATGCGGGGTTTTTAACACATGAGCTGGGGGTGGTAAGGTGTGATTCTGTACCTGAAATACCCCTTGTCTGATTTATATGTTGTTTCTCCACAGACCCTCCTACAATACAGAAGATCCAAAGCTCGGAGACTCCAGTGGGCAGAGTGGGCATGCTGCAATGTGATGCCAATGCTGTGCCCAAACCCGAGTTCGAATGGTTCAAGGACGAAAAGAGGTAAGTTTAGTTCAGTATTATAGGTTTAAAGACATTGAGGTCATGGCTTTATAATGCTGTTTTACTCTTTACTTCTTCACATGTAATAATACTACAAAGATACTTGTAGAAGTTAAAGTACTCAACACAATTGTAAGTTAAAAAGTGTAATTTTCTCTCTCTGGCATTATACTTTTGTAACTACAACTGCAATTGAGAAATCACTACTGCTACTCTTACTATAATACTACTTAATACTACTACAACTACTACCCAGATCTGTTTCAAATAAAATACATCAGCAATAATAAGCAACTTCTTTTATTCAACTCTGTAGTTAAATGTGCACAGTGTCATTTTATCCAATGGAGGGCTTGCTACTCTATGGTTATGTTAATGCTTTGTCAACAGTCAAAATTACAGGTCAGATCTGTGGAGAGACAACCCCACTCACAGTGAGAATGCATGTATTTCAAGGGTAATCAAATTTTAAAGAAGACCTATTGTGCTTGTGTCTGCTATATAGTTATAATCTTTGGTGCCTGTAGATCATTATGTTATAATTTGCACATTTTTAATTGCAATATTCATTGAAAACTTCTCAATAATAGAAACAAGTCCACTGATCTCTGCATTCGAAAACTGCGGTGCCTAATGGGAACTGACCTCCTATAGCTATGGATCATACTTGCAGCAGATTTGTATTATTTTTTTTCAGCAATTATAACAAAATGATTATGTGTATCATCGATTAAGAAAATAAAATTGAACAGTTATCCAGAACAGTGGGCGTATGCCAGTGGCGGTGAAAATGGGGATTGATTGGAAATATAGCATCTTAAAAATAATTGATAAAAAAATTTGTGAAATATGCACGACTCTTATACAACTTCAAGAGGGTAAATGAGCTGGGGAAAAGGCTATAATATGCTTAAAAGTTCTGAAAAATGTTGCATAATAGGTCTGCTTTAATGAACGTAAGATAGATAAGTTAAATGTCATTCTGTGGAATACACCAGACAAAGCTCTAACACCTCCATGGATAAAAGCGGGTGGTGGGCATTCCATCAGAAAAGTTACATACCGTATTTTTCGGACTATAAGTCTCACCAGCCAAAAAAATGCGTAATGAAGAAGAAAAAAACATATATAAGTTGCACCGGACTATAAGTTGCACTTTTTAGTGGAAATTAATTTTATAAAATCAGAGACCAGGAACCGACATTTCAGCTTGAAGGGCATGTTATAGTAAAAACAACAGAATAGAGAACAACAGGCTGTTAATGTGGATGTGAACAATTATTCAGATAACATTTTTTCATTTTAACATTTTTTCAGAACAAGTTTACCAAACTTACTCCAAATCACTAAATCGTGAATTGAATTCTTCATCATTAGTGTCACTTTTGAGCAACTCTGCAACCTCCGGAGGTGAATGTAGCGCCGCTTCCTCTTCTGCGTGGCTGTTGTCAGACACAGCATCAGTTCCAGTTAGAATTATTCTGGTTTTCTGAATCCCGACAGGATGGTTTCGGTTGTCATTAAACTCCAGGCTTTGTTGATCCATCCAGTGACTTCCAGGAAAGTTGCATGGTACACCATCCCCGTTTTCCACCAGTCCCTCACAAGTTTCTCGCTCACTTCTTTCTGCTGCTTGATTACCGTTTTCGGCTGCATATTTTACTACTTGCAGCTAAACACAGGAGACATGCACAGTAGAGTGCCAAGTGACAGTGGTACAGGAGTAATAGGAGTAACAGATACACAAGCCTAGAGCGCTCTCTCATGGTTGTCAGTGTGAAAATTTTAATATATATATATAATTCACACTGGAGTGTAAGTTGCAGGACCACCCAAACCATGAAAAAAGTGTAACTTATAGTCCGGAAAATACGGTACTGCATTTTTTTTTTTCTCAATATTGCATCTTAATATTTCATCCTTCGAGTTCTTAATGACTAAACTTTTTGACTGCTCTGAGAAGTTTTTTGCATACATGCTTTCCTGTAGCATTATGCAGCCTTACCCGTATATATGATGTGTGCCTCATGCTGTGTTTGAAGGGAAACTGAACCATCTTCTTAACTGTGGGGTCGATCCTAATCTGCCATAATGTATTGTAAGCACCAGTTGTGTCTAATGCTCACCTTTGCCTATTGACAGACTGAATGCACCAGCTGTGTACAAGCACTCAGACCTCCCATTAAAGAACGCAGGCCATTAGCTTCCTACAGCAAAAACAACAGTATACAAGAAGTCTGCTCCCTCACCCCAGCAGCCCCACTGCCATAAAGTCTGATTATTATTGTAGTCTAATGATTCCCAGAAAGATCACATTTTTGAAAACCCATTCTGTTTTTGCTTTACTGGAAAAGCCATGTATTTTAGTGAGCTTGAAGTAAGTGAGCTAAAGTAATGTTTTGTTTTTTGTTTTGTTTTTTTTTTATCTTGGAAAGTTAAATCTGATTTTCTTGAGACTCGCTAAATGACAAAGTTCAAGTTTTTGAAAAGTGTTTTGGTAAATATGGTCGCTTAATGTTTCCTCTAAAGGTCATTTTTTTAAGTGGTTGGTTGTTTTCTCAGATTCTTCTCTCTATTTATTCAAAATCAATTTGAATAAAAAATAATGTGTCATCCAGGAGAAGTTAAGAACTAGATAAATTTTTTGTAGCATTTAATCCAAAAATCAAACATGGATCCCATTAATTAATTTGCTGTCACATTTTTTCATCTATATATTTCATGTCAAATGAACATGTTTTTGCTTTTTAACAACATAAAATAATTACAGGAAAGAGATATTTTGATTTTATTTTATTCATTTTTAAGACCTGACAGTAGTGAATTATTGTTTAAATTTGTCTAAATTTTAACCAAAATATTAATGGAGATATTTTCATTCTCTAATTTTCTGATCTATGTTATATTGTTTTTTCATCAAAAACAGACCTGGAGTTATGTTTTGTTTCTTTCACACGTTTAACTCACAAACTCTGAATATTTAGGCTGAGTTCTTCTCTCAAACAGAAAACACTTTGTCCCACCTTGTGATGTCACGCAGTAATACAGGAAGTGCTCTACTGTGTTAGGTAAAAGGTAGCTGTGAACTACTACAACATCACAAGGTGGATCAGAGCATTTTGAGTTTTGGAGATTTAGGCAGCCTAAACGTCCATTCAGGCGGGAAGTGGATGCGTGTCTAGGGCATCCTGCGTTTTTGTGGCACGTCTTCAGGCGTCAGCACAGCGCAAATCTGGCATCAGTGCGGCAGATCCAGGGCATTGGCATCAGAATTTGAAAAAGTTGAACTTTTGGCCAAGGACCAATCAAGGACTACTATCCAGTGACATAGCAACATTATTATCTGAGGAAGGAGAAGAAAGAGAAAGACCCAGGAAGCTGGGGGCACGAGCTACAAACATCAGCAGAGTATTAATCAAATCAAATCAAACATTTATTGCACGCAAAGTGCTTATTATTAATATATATACATGCCGTAACCACAGAGCCGATTGCCAGGACTGGACCAGGACTGGACCAGGGATGGACCAGGAATAAACCAGTGTCATTAGCAGAGTATAAATATATGCACACTGCAGCTGCCGAGCCAATCACCTCTACTGATGGGTTTTATGTAATAAATACACTAAAGTCTCTCTTGCAGCCTGGTCTGCCGTTCCGGGAAAAGACCAGGAAATGGCACTTGTTTGCAGGGCAATGGGCGTCAAGTATTTTTCTCATGTTCGTCCATGGCGTACAAGACGAGCACCAGAGGCATCTAAACTCAAATGCAGAGGTGTCCAGAATTATTCAAACATGTGTGAATGAAACAAAACAAAACTCTCAGTATGTTTTTGATAAGGTAATGCAATTATAACGGCTAAAAGCTCACAAGAGTCAATTTTGTACAAGATTGGACCTTTAAAATTGTACCAGATTGTGTTGTGGTTTAACATTACTATGACAGATTTCGTTGTCATTGCCACATCATTGTACAGCATACTTCCAGCGCGATTGCTTTGTTTCTCTCCTGTTTTGATTACCTAATGTTGCATTCACTTACCATCTGGAAAACAGAAACTCCAGTGACAAAGATGGGTAAACTAGTTTGTACTGGCTGGAAACAAATGGTAAACTGAAACGCCTCCAAAATATTTTCTTCTTTTCTGCATCCTGACAGATTCGAAAACTGGTGGTGACAGGTTTGCCAAATAAGGAGAAAACATTTCCATTTCAAACTCAAAAAACTCATTATTCTAGTGCCACAATACTCCGATCACTATGACAACACAACCAAAAAGAAATCGCAGAAATCCACACAGAGGGAATTTTTTTTTGTTGAGAATTTCAAAGAATGTTTCAATTTGGCAAAGAAAAACCCAAATTGATTATTATCTGAATATCTTATAAGTGATTCCTGAATACAGAGTAGATTCTAGGGCTGGGAATCACAGGGTCCCCGATGATTCCATACGATACTTGATACATGGCTCACAATGCGATATTATCACAATATGGTGATACATGCAATACTACTTGTGCAAACTTAAAGGTGCACTATGTAACTTTTTGGTTGAGTGTCCATCACCTGCTAGTTTCTCTGGATATGCCATTGCTCTGCCTGGAATGTTCCACATTATGGCATTAAACAGCTCTACCTTACATTTATTCAGTTATGGGTGGTTTTATAGCTAAAAAATACCTAGAAAAACATTCTGACTCCCCAGATCTGACCTGTAACATGGACCAGTTTGGTCTCCATGAAGATAGAAAGGTTTAATACCATTCTGTTAAACTTTCCAGATAAGGTAATAACATCTCCACGGAGAAAAGAATTTGACAGACCCTCCACCAGAAAAGTTACACAAAGGACCTTCAATATGAAATACATGAATTTGAATATGCCAAGTGTGTTACATGAACAGGTTTCCTTCCACCAAATAAGCAACAAAAACATACAAAAAATACTCCAGATGATATATTGATACAGCAGCTGTCAATATTTCAATATTTTTGCACAC